ATATCAAACTGTCAAAACCATGAAAAATTTCTTAAAAACAACTTTCTGAAGCATGTATAATAAAAGTTCAGGGACTGATATTGGTGTTAAAGCTGAAGATCAGATAAACAAAGTGGCCAGTCACTAGCTCTTACTTCTACCTCAGACTGAAAGGGTGATCCCTTATCCATGAATCCTCAGATTGAATCAGACTAAATCTGTCTCCGCCAAATCTCAGAATGTCTTACATTTCAATGAGTTCTTGTCTTCTCCAGCCTTATACCTCTCTCTGCCCAGCCATATCACTCCTGTCTCCAACTCCCTAGGGCTGGGATTAAAGGCATGAGCTCCATTTCTCTTTTAGACTGATTCACTGTCATGCAACCCTAGATGTCCTTGAACTCACAGAGATCCATTTGCCCCTGTCTCCTAAGTGCTGGAATCAAACTGCCTGGATTCTATGGCTGCTAGGATTTAAAGTATGTGCCATCACTGCCTGACCTCTATAGCTAGCTAGTGTGACTAGCTTTGTACTCTGATCTTCAGGCAAGCTTTATTTGTTATAGCATAAACAAAGTGTCACAACTTTCAGACACAGGTATATATAAAAGAGTAATTAATAAATATAATAGAGATCAAATATAAATACCAATGAAAATAAATGACAGAGCAGGATTCAGCTATATTGAATATAGAAAATTTGCAAATATATTTTAAAATTGCATTTATAATAATATCTGGTCTATTACTGGTACCTGAATATTTTGTTCTATCTATATCTAATATCCATCTATCTTATCTAATCTTATCTATCTATCTATCATCAATCTATCTATCTAGAGGTACACAAATGCGATTGTTCATGTGTGGAGGTTTGAGGACAACTCAGGAATTAGTACTTGCATGCCATGTGGGGATGGGGAATTGAACTCAAGTTGTTAGGCTTTGGAGGCAGATACCTCTACTGTCTGAGTCACCTCACCAGTCCCTCTTTCTTTTCTTTCTTTTTTTTTTTTTTTTTTTACCTTCTTTTTTGTTGTTGTTATTGTTCCTTTGTATGTGTATGCATATGTTGTGGAATATTATTTAAACTAGACAAAGGTATGTTATATTTGTTTAGGCTGCAAACTATTACTTTAACTCTGTAAAGGTGTGCTACTTTTGTTTATGCTGAATTTGTTTAATGTTGTAAGGATGTGTGCTTAGCCATATAAATATGTGTTGCATCTGTTTCACCATGCTTGCCTAAGGCATCAAATTTGTCTAATACAAAGTTGAATGGCCAATAGTTAGGCAGGAGAAGGATAGGTGGGGCTGGCAGGGAGATATAATAAATACGAGGAGAAATCTAGGCTTCAGAGAAGACAGGACGAAGGAGAAAAGGAAGAAAGAGGGATAAACCCAGGGCAAGAAGCCAGGCAGACACCAGCATCCATAGAGACAGAAAGAAAGAAAAGGAAAAACAAACAAAAAATGCCCAAAGGCAAAAAGGAAAAGGTAGATAAAGAGAAATAGGAAACAGGTTGATTTAAGTTAATGGAGCTATCCAGAAACTTGCCTAAGCTAGGCCAAGCATTCAAAACTAATATTAAGTCTCTGTGTCATGATATGGGAGCTGATTATTGGCCCCAAAGAAAAAGCTTGATGTAAATGGACATTTCTCTCCCACTGCCAGTTCCCAAATAATAATTCAGAGGTTTATATTAATTACAATATAATTAATGCTTACCCAATAGCTCAGGCTCATTACTAACTAGCTCTTACATTTAAATTAGCCCGTTTCTATTCATCTGTGTATTGCCACATGGCTCATGGCTTTACCTATCCTCTAGCACTTTGCTTCCCGGGCAGCTGGCTGTAGTCTCCCTGACTCCACCCTTCTTCTTCCCTTCCTTAGTTTATTTTTTCCACCTAACATTATTCCACCTGGCTATTGGCCAGTCAGCTTCTTTACTAAACCAATCAGAACATAATTTACACAGTGTACAGGAATATTTCACAGCAGCTTGGTACACACAAATGTGTTTTAGGGTATATATACATACATATGTACATGTATGCACATGTATGCAGAGGGCCAGAGGTCAATGTCTGGTGCCGTCAATCTTTCTCTGCCTTATTTTTTGAGACAGTATCACTTAGGGAATTTGAAACTCAATGATTCAGAAATACTGACTGGCCAGCATATACCAAGTGTTCTTCTGTCTCTGAATCCTGTAACTCTTTGGCTATGACTGGCTCCTTATGTGAGTTCTGGGAATACTGACATGGTTCTTCTTCCTTATACAGCAAGAACATTACTATTGAGGGTATTTCTCTAAAATAGAAGTATCTGTGTGGGGACAGGAAGGTCAGCTGGAGCCAGCACATGGAGCAAGTGAGCGTAATGGGCAAGTATGAGCAGCATCCAATGATGTACACATTTGAAAGTTTTATAAGGAAACATACTATTCAGTACAATCAAAAATAGAAGTTAAGAAAAGGGGGTGGGAAGGAATAGAAGGACTAAGAATGGTTAACCGTTGAGAGTCAAGATTTGTTCCTAAATTTTGTAGAGAAATCTGAAGTCTGGGAAGTTGTGATTTTTATAAGAACATTTATTGAGTAAGAAACAGAACAGTGCTCCTGTCTACAGAGAGCCTCTGGAAACACACATCAATTGGAAAATTTTTTTATCTAGAGGGGTGACTTTTGTACATGGGAGTGTTGGTGGTGAGGGGCTAATTACCAGTATGTGACCTTCATTTGTTATTTCTCATTATTTAGCTGTTGTTTGTTATTTTTGGAGGCTATATTCTACTCATCAATCTATACCCAGTGCTCAATTAGACTTGTCCCCCATCCCTGTGTTCTCTCTCCCTACATCTTTTTGAGGGGTGGGGAATCTCATGGTAATTTCCTAATATGGTCTACACCATTTAACTTGGTGTTTTCAAGGGTATTTGTATTGACTAGTACCACACTTACCCAGCAAGAATTCTGAATTTCACAATCCAGGCAGATATCGTCTTCAGTGCTATGAACCAAATTGAGTCTACATTAAGATTGGTTTTGAAATCCTACCCTCTAATGTAATCTAATTTAGAGACGCTTTTAGGAGGTAAGTGCAGATGCTAACAAAATGATGGGGTCCTAATAATGACATTAAGACACTTGAGAAGGGATGGTAAAGATCTTTATTTTACTTTCTCTTTGCTGCAGTTTGGATCTAAAATGTACCATAATGGATTGCTTGTATATTTTGGAAATTAGTACTCTGTCCAATGTGGAGTTGGTAAAACATCTTTTATCATTCTGTAGGCTGATTGTGTGATTGATGCTGCCCCTTGCTTTACAGCTTTACAGTTTCAGGGGGTCCTATTTACTAACTGTTGATCTTAGTGTCTGTGCAATCAGTGTTTTGTTCAGAAAGTCATCTCCTGTACCAAAGCATTCAAGGCTATTCCCCACTTTCTATTCTATCTGGTTTAGTGTATCTGATTTTATGTTAAGGTAATTGATCCATCTGGATTTAGGTTTTGTCCAGAGTGTTAAGTATGGATGAGTTTGCATTCTTCCACATGCAGACAACCAGTCTGACCAGCACCATTTGCTTAAGATGCTGTCATTTATCTCCCTCTCCACCCCTCCCCCCAGTGTGTACATCCCTGGCTTCTTTATCAGAAACCAGGTATCCATACGTGTGCAGACTTGTCTGGGTCTTCAATCTGATCCTACTAGCAAGCATGGCTCTTTTTTATACCAATATCATGCAGTTTTTATTACTATAATACTGTATTAAAACTTGAAATCAGCAATGGTGGGACCTCCATAGTTTTTATTTTTCAATATTATTTTAGCTACTCTGGGTATTTTTTGTTTGTTTGTTTGTTTCCATATGAAGTTGAATATTGTCTTTTGAAGGTCTGTAAAGAATTGTGTTGTCATTTTGATAGATATCACATTAAATCTGTAGATTGTTTTTGGTTGGATAACTATTTTTCACTATGTTAATTCTACCAATCCATGAGCATGAGAGATCTTTCCTTCTTCAGATATCTTCAATTTCCTTCTTCAAAGACTTTGAGTTTTTGTCATACAAGTCTTTCTTTTGCTTGGTTAGAGTTACTTCAAGATACTTTATTTGAATCTACCATGGAAAATGTTTTCATGATGTCTTTCTCAGTCCACTGTATACAGGAGGGCTACTGAGTTTGAGTGAATCTTGTATTCAGCACTTTGCTGAAAGTGTTTATCAGTTATAGGAGTTCCTTGGTGAAATTTTTAGCGTCACTTATACATACTAACATATTTGCAGATAACAATACTTTGACTTCTTCCTAATTTGTATTCCTTGGTTTTCTTTAGTTGTCTAATTGCTGTACTTTAAACTTCAAGTACTATATTGAATAGACATGGTGAGTAAACAACCTTGTCTCAGTCCTGATCTAAGAGGAATTGCTTTCAATTTCTCTCCATTAAATTATATATTGGCTACAGGCTTGCTATAAATTGCCTTTGTTTAGGTTTGTCCCTTGTATCCCTAGTCTCTCCAGAACTTTTATCATGAAGGAGTGTTGGATTTCATCAAAGGTCTTTTCTGCATCTAATGAGATGATAGTGTCCTTTCTTTCCCCCGAAGTTTGTTTATATGGTGGACTATATTTACTGATTTTCATATACTGAATCATCCCTCTATCTCTAGTATGAAGCCTTCTTGATGGGATGAACTATTTGATGTGTTGTTTGGTTTGGCTTCCAAGTACTTTATTATTTTTGCATCAATATTCATAAGGGAAATTAGTATTTCTTTATTGGGTTTGAGTATCAGGGTTAGTATGGCCTAAAAATATAAACAAAATTCCTCTTTTTAAATTTTTTTATTTTGTGGAATACTTTGAAAGGTGTTGTTAACTCTTCTTTCACAGTCTGGCAGAATTCTGTGCTAAAGCCATCTGTATCTGGGTTTCTCTTGTTTGGGAGACTTTTAATGGCTGTTTGTATTACACTGGGGATTATAGGTCTATTTAAATTGTTTATCTGATCTACAAAACTGCAGCACATATACTAAAATTTGGAATGATACAGAGATTAGCATGGCCCCTGCGCAAGGAACCTCTTAACTTTACATTCCAGTCTCTTTGTTGTGGAAAGGTATTCTGCAGGTTACCAAGAGAAATATAGACACCAACACACCAACACCTCCAAAACCTGGATCTACAATCTGTACCAGCCTGTCAAATTTTGAACTACATTCTTTTTCTTTATTTATTTATTGATTTTACATGTCGATCCCAGTTCCCCCTCCCTCTCTTCCTCCTTCCCTCCCTATCTCCATCTGCCATTATAATATACTAGGGAAATGGTGGCAAAGAATGTGTGGGAGTAGCTAACTAAAGTCTGACTTGACCTAAGGCATATTCCTCAAGAAGGAATCTGTACCTGACACTGTGGGTAATGAAGAACCAGAGATTACATAGCCCAGAGACCTATGGTAAAAGCAAACACAACTGGACTTAAAAAGAAATACAAAACAGCTGGGTATTGGTAGCACACACCTTTAATCCCAACACTCGAGAGACAGAGGCAGGAGGATCTCTGTGAGTTTGAAGCCAGCCTGGTCTACAGAGCTAGTTCCACGACAGGCTCCAAAGCAATACAGAGAAATCCTGTTTCGAAAACAAACAGAAAAACAAAAAGCAATATAAAACAAAAGACCCACAAAATGATTCCTAATGAGATTCTGTTATACTCATATATAGGATCTTTTCCAGTTATCATTACAGGCTTTCTCTGGAAGTAGAAAGGAACAGATGTAGAAAGACAGAGACATTAGGCACTCTAAATTGGAGGTCCCATCAAATCTCTCCTGCAGAGCTCAGATCATCAAAGAGGCAGTGTATGAATCTGAGAGGGTGGAGGATAACAGGAGAGCATAGCCCTCTGAATCAACTGAACAGGTCATAAAAGCTCAGAGACAGAAGCAAGAAGCACAAGCAATGTGGGATAGCCTTCTATATGCTGCAACTATGTGTTGCTCTTATTGGTTGATGAATAACACTGTTTCAGCCAATGGACAGGCAGAATTTAGCCAGGTGGGAAATCCAAACAAAGATAAAGGTAGTAGGCAAAGTAAAAGAGACACCATGTAACCACTGGAGAGGTAGGACACCCGGGCATTCTCAGGTAACAAAAGACCACACGGAGATGAACAGAATAATAGAAATAGGTTAACAATTAAAAACGAGCTAGACAGTAAGAAGCCTAAGCCATTGGCTAAACAAACTTACTTCTTAAGCATCTATAGGACCCAATGGAAAATCAGTCCAGTGGGACTGAGACTAGACCGAGAAAAATCTCCCTATACACAAGACCTATGTGGGTCTGCACCTGGTCCTCTGCATATATATTATAGCTTTTACCTTATTATTTTTATAGGACACTTAGTTCTCTGACTCTAGGCCTGCTTTTAGGATTTTTCTTTCTGTTGGGTTGCCCTGTCCAATTTCAGTAAGATAGTTTTGGCTTCATCTTGTTAAATTTAATTTTGGCATGTTTGGTTTTGAGAAGCCTAATTTTTTCTTTTCTAATGAAGAGAAAAAGGAAGTGCGTCTGGAGGGGAAGAGAGAAAGGGAGGAATTTGGGGGAGTAGAGGGAGGAGAAACTACAATCAGAGTCTATTGTATGAAAAAAGAATATTTTCAATAACATTTTAAAAAGGCAAATGAATAAAATGTTCCACAATGGGCCATTTATTGGAAACACTGATTCTGAGGGTGGCACTGCTGGAAAGTGATAGAAATCTTAAAAGGTGGGTCGTACTTGTAAGTCTCTTGAGATTGAAGGGCATGCCCTAGGATTTGTGGGAACCTGGTCTCTTCCTTTCTCTACAACATCCCAGGTGTGAGGTGTATAATTCAGAATTAAGAATGTACTCTTGCTGGCTTCCCAGATGTCAGTCTAGTGGCCGTTAGCTCCTCCTTGTTCAGGTAAGCTGTCTGTATGTGTTTCTGCCACATGGTCTTGTCCTCTCCATCTGCATGTGGGTTCTAGTTCGACTCAGTGTTTATGTATGGGTGTTTGAACCTGTTTCCAACAGGCATTAGTTGAGGGCTCCATGGAGAAGTTAGTTGATCTCACTATCCGGGAAGGGCATTTATGATAGCCTTTCCACCGAAGCAGTCTTGTAGTTCTCTAGACCTTTCTTTGTGTTCAATTTTATCTTCAAACCAATATTGGCTCCCTCTTTTATGTTCTCTCTCTCTCTCTCTCTCTCTTTCCTGTTTTCTATTCTTAATCAGGCTCAATCTTCCTGGTTGCACATGTTTTCCTTTCCTCCCCCTCGTTTTTTCCTACTTCTCTCTCCATTCGCTGCCCCCCCCCACTTCCCCTGAGCTCTGGGGGACTTGTCCCTTACCAGTTCTGTGAGGGACTTTATATGAATCTCTTAGAATACACTTTGTATCTTAGTTCCCTGGTGGCGTGAATTATAGGCTGGTGATCCTTTGATCTAGGTCTAAAATCCATATATGAGTGAGTACATACTGTGCCTCTTTTTGTGACTGGGTTACCTCATTCAGAATGGTTTCTTCAAGTGCCATCCACTTGCCTGCAAATGGTCTCGGCCAAAAGGACTGAGCAGTCTAAGGGACCTCAGACAGTGGAGCCAGGATGTATCCCTGGTGCACAAAAGGACTTTGCGAACATATCCCCCATGGAGGGATAACTGCCTTATTCTACAGACAGGAGAGAAGCCCTAGTCCCTACTTCATATGACCTGTCAGATCTACATGACCCCAACTGGATGGCATTCCCCTACATATGGAATTGGGGTGGGGGGATGGGAGGGTGGTTAGAGTGCATGTGAGAGGGCAGAGAGGGTAAAAGGGAGGGAAAAAGGGAGGGAGGGAGGGAGGGAGGGAGGGGGAACTGGGATCGACATGTAAAACAATAAATTAAATTAAAACAATGTTTGACTCCAAAATTTAAGTTGAAGGACAAGTTACTGGGGAAAAGGATTTCTATTTTTGTTTCCACAGAAAATGAAAAGATGTGGATTCCTTCCAGACTACTGTGGTTTGATCAAGCCAGACTGCCTGAAACAGAGTACAAGGTGATCCTACATTCAAAACAGCTGGACAAAGCAGCCTTACAGACTACAGCCAGGATTTCTGCATCTTCTTAGAATCCCCCATGACAGCGCCCCTTACCAGCAGGAAGTAGTTTGGAAAGAACGATGCCCAAATTCCCAAATATTGTCTATAAATGTTTGTTTTCATTTAAATGGACTTTGTTATATAAAATAAATTAAAAAAAAATAAGAATGTACTCTTACCACTTAATCATTATAGGTCTCAGCATCCATCTTGGGTAGCAACTGTATTCAGAATACACCTTTTACATATCAGCTGCTTATCTCAATCATTCTCACTTTTCTTTCTGCCAAGTTGGAGGTCTGATTTCTGACTCTATCAGAAATATGAGCAAACAGATTTTTGTTAAGTGAGCAATCTACTGTAGTTTGCTATGCTACCCACACAAGTGGTAGGTTTAGCCAATCAATAATACTGAATTATAGTCAAAATGCATACTGTTATATCATTTATCTAGGTCTTTTACACAGTTCATCCAACAACTGAAAATAATCTGTGAACTTAAAATTCACATTCTTTTTTTCTTTTTTTGTTATATATACCTTAATCAGGCCTGACTCCACCCAGCATGTGGTCCAGACTGAACTTGAACTAAGATCTTTTATCCTCAGGCTCCCAGATACTGAGATTACAGGCATGCTTCACCATGAAAAGCCACAGATTTTTGTTTTTTTGTTTTTTGTTCATTCAAAACACTTTGGTGATCACTTCATAGCTAACATCAACAGACCATTCGGAATGTCTTAAATAATTGCACTCGAACTTACTCTGTAAGTTAACTGTAAGCATAGCAGGGAAAAATATGCAACAGAGCTAGTTGATTTCCTGCAGTTCTGCCCATGGGCAAGGAGATGAAGATAAAGTGCAGTGCTCAGTATGTCCTCTGAGGAGCAACAATAACTTAGAGTCTATCTCAAGAACTTTGGATTTAACAACTGCAAAATCATTTCTAAAACTGAAGACAGTTGGCAGTGGGATGGCTGAGCTGGTAAAGATCCTTGCCATTAACCCTGATAGGTTGTTCACTCTTTGGGAGAAAACTGACCCTTAGCTTTTCTTTTACCTTCACACGTGTGCTGCAGGACACAGATTCATAGGGAACAGATCTTCCTTTTTAGCGAGGTGAGTAAAATAAGTCTAAGACTCTCTAGGGTACAGTTCCGTGATGTGTACAAGTGTGATTACAACCATGGTTTTAAAGGCACAAGAAATACAGAAAGAGGATGACAAGAATTGGAGTTGTGAATTCATTTCTGCGAACGGTGTAAGGGCACATGTACATGTATATTTGTATGTAGGTAGGCATACATTTCCTATTTGTCTGTTGAATAGCATAGATGCAATGAAAATAGCAAAAATCCAGGTCTTAACTTTTTAGTAACTCCCCTCTGGTTCTATGGAGAAATTGCTGATTGCAGATTTTGGGATGTCTTTTATGCACAGTTAATTACTGGGGGTGGGGGGAGAGAAGGGTTGTTTGAGTGATTACATCCATATACAAACAAAAAAGAACTTACAGGGCACATGAGCCAGCCGGAAGGAATTACCTGAGAACCAAAGTATGGCATATAACCCACTAGGAAAATGATAACACATGCTTATAAGCCTGTGACAACATTCAAATTTAGATGGAAACATAGCTGAATGGACTGGATGGGGAAAGGACTTCCTTAGTGCTTACCGGTAAATGTGGAAAAATATGCTAGAGTCAGAAAGTCAATTAGACTGGAGCAAGACGTATCATATGTTCATCCCCTGAGCAAGATTTTAGCATGTACTTAAAAGCCTCCCAGATAATGCTTATTAGTTGAGAAATTATACTACACATTCGAGAAACAACCCTGATATAAGCAGGTGAGGAGAACTAAAATCATACATGAAAATATGGGTATTCATTCAAAATCCCAGCCCCATGACACCCATGCAATAGCTGACCAAGGATGTATAAGTTGGATCTATGAGGAACACTGAGGGTGTAAGACATGCAAAGCAT